TATATATATATATATATATATATATATATATATATAATTTACAAAGGGATAAGTGACGATGAGTTTGTTTAGATGGTTAGTTACCTTTAGACGCATGCTTACACTTATGATGACAGCACAAATTACAATTCTTTTTTTTTTAGTTCATTTTTTCGAATTTAAAATTTTTAAGTTTCCTCCCACCCAAACTAGGAATTGAGGTCGGAAGCACATGCGAACGCATCGGACGTGTGTCCGTCGTCCTCCCACCAAATGAGCCGTTGGATTCGCAGGCAGTGGCACATGCGATCGCATGTACCCCCCCCCCCCCCTCCATCTAAATCCCGATCAGTGAGGACAGCGACGATGTGCCCTCCCGCGACAGGCTCCGGTCAACTGCCAACACCGTGACTTATTTCGATTCTTTTGTTTCAAGACCTCCTCCCTCCGTTAGTCTTTGCTTCCGTCACAGTCAAACCGAAGCCGGCCTACTTCCCCAACAACACCACCAACTTCTCTTCCCCTCTCGCTCTCTCACCAGTCGGCAGATGATCGAGCCTTTCTGAGATACAGGAACATCGGAGAGAGAGATAGAGAGAGGGGTAAATAGGAAGGAAGTAGAGGAAAAGGGCAGGTCGTGCGCCATGGGACAAGCCTTCCGCAAGCTCTTCGACAGATTCTTCGGCCCCGTCGAAATGAGGGTATTCCCCTTTCCCTCCTTTCCTCTCATCTTTTCCAACTCGATTTGCTCCTGAACAGATGAACATATCACGTGCCTGTACCTTTCCTAGCATATTCTTCAATGTTTTTCTCCTTTGGTTGGTCCCTTCGAAATCATCATAAATATTCCTATATAAATTTCGATTTATCCGAAAAACCAAAAAGTTGAAGTTTCTAAACACATATATCATGATACTTAGAAAAGGGATTTTCTTCGAATACATTAGGATGATTACGTATATGTATGATGGAACGATTCCTCGTATGAGGGCAATGGGGACGTGAATCAAGCGAGCACTCGATCGATGCGAGGTCAATCAAGGGCCAACTCAAGTCTTGACTTTTCATTATTGTATGGATATACATTTATTGGTGATAAAAGTATCTTGACTTATGAGATTAGAGTGGGAAAATTCTGAATTAAAATTACCGAGAAAAACTTTGGAATCCAGTGCTAAGACTGAAAAATGTAGTGGAAGTTTTGTAATAAGGAGCAAGTAGCTAATGTTTTGTTTAAATAAATACTCAGAAGCTATCTTTTGATACGTTGGTTCTATAATTAGGGTATATCGAAGAAGAGTTTGTTATAAAAAAAAAACAGAATATTTTTTTACAATCTCCACCCTCTTTGATTGGAAGGAAAGTTTTAAGGAAGGTCTTCCATTTTTTTGGCACCTAAATATTAGACAGTTCATAGACTCAAAAGTTTGTTGTACATTGACATGGATGTTTGGTGTTATCAAAAGGGATAAGAATTTATTATTATATTTGTTACAATTCATGGGTGGTACTAATCATGTATAAAAGCAATGGTTTAATATAGCCCTCCAAGAGTAGTTCAAAGCAACAGTTTGTTTTTGTGTTCAATGATGTCTGTGTATTTGAAACATCACAACCTTCACCGGACTCCTTAACTAGATGAAGTTTTTTCTCTTCTTATGTAGGTAATATGTTCATAAGAACTTCTGTTTATTTTGATGAATAAGTGCAACAATCCATCGATGACATCTTTTGTACTTCACCTATTGTAGGTTGCAATGCTTGGATTGGATGCAGCTGGTAAGACAACTATCTTGTACAAGTTGCACATTGGGGAAGTTTTGTCAACGGTTCCAACTATTGGTAAGCCTCCTGTAATTCACTTCCAAATAGAAAAGGTATTCTGTAGAACTAACCCTCTGGAACTATCTTAGTTTGTTAAAATTTGATTGAGAAGGGGTTGAAAAAGAATTCTATTGCATTTACTTGTTCAGATGAGGATGTAGAAACACTAGGAGTGAAGAAGAATTCAATGCTGGGTAGGGCATTAGTATCCACATAGTCAGCGGATACCAATACAGATGCAGATGGTGGATGCTAAATTTTGAAAACATTAATATTTCTTATAATGGTTATGGATCAGATGTTCACTGGGAACATCTAGATAACTGATATTGAGTATATGTTGGAAGAATATGAATACTATCTGCTTTTGGAAGGATACAAATAAGATCCTGATCTAGTGTGGATATAGGTTAAGGTAGATGTTGATGACAATTAGATATAGCCAGCATGCATAGGAGGTCAAGAAAGTGGTTATGGCTGAAAGAAGTTCCATTACCTGCATGTGTATATAAATGTATGCAAGTAATAGTGGTTCATCACAAAGAGAAAAATCATGTGAAGCTTCAACAAGTATGTGTATATTGCTTCACCGGGAACATTCTCTTTGTGTAAGTTCACTGATATAATATGTGAATATAAATTGGACACATAACCTATTTTCACATGGATATACAAATCCAGATCCAAAATTTAATAAATATCTGATGCATACTCTTATACAGCAAAAATGCATTCATATCAAAGCTGAAACTAAATCTGGGTCATTTGGCTAGTATTCAAATGGAATATCTGTACCCAACTCTGTCCAAACACATCCGCATTTGGATATTATCACAATCTTTCTTTCATTCCTGAGAGACATTGAACATATAGTGGAACCATTGGCTTTTTATCAATCTGTTTCAGAGTTTGCAAATCGTCATCATTGAAATTTTCTCGTTTTCTTTTGCTTTTGAGGAAGAAGTCTCCTTCAGTAGGATCAGTAATTTCTTCTCTAAGCATAATTTTTTTCTCAGTCAGTGGGCCCTGCATTTTCAGTGTTTGTAATGTCAATGTAATGTTCCGTCCATTGTTCCTGACAATAATTTGAAGGAGATGCCTACGGATTGTGATCAATCATTTGCTCGATGCAAATCATTGAATGTTTTTGAAACAAATAAAGGAGAGGAAAAGAAAATTCCTCCCCTACTCTAAAACCTTAGAACAATTCTCTCTGTAATTTCTGCTTGACATTATTGATCTTTAGCATGTAACTTGGTCCATTCCTCGCTTCATACTTTGGCTTGAACATCTTAGAGACTTTACGAAACATCTCTAACCGAATTTTGGTAGCAATCTGAGATTGTATTTTGGTATGTTTTTAAAAGTTAAGGTTGCAAGGAGTAGATAAGTTTAACATGCCAAGTGGATATGGATCTGGGAGAAGATAGCATTCATGATTCTGCTGTTTCTATTAAATTATTTGTACGTTTTTTTAATATGTTGGTCCTTTGATGCAGAAAATGGCTTGTACTTTATATGGTTTTCCTTGGTTCATGAATAGTTTATTTAGAAGCTATATTTTGACAAACTATGATCTTTATTGTATTTTCTGCCTCATTGTTGATCTGTTATACATATTTCTGTGTTCGCGAATTGCTTATATATAACCCGTATTTTGACAACTGTGATTATTTGATCCTCTTACCTCAATGTTGATCACAACCCTTCTACTTTATATTTTGTTCTAGGTTTCAATGTAGAGAAAGTCCAATATAAAAATGTGGTATTTACAGTCTGGGACGTCGGTGGACAAGAAAAATTGAGACCCTTATGGAGGCATTACTTTTGCAATACTGATGCTCTGGTAACTTGTTGTTTCTACATGTTTGATCTTTATATTTGGTATGTTGGTGACCTTTTACTCTTCAATGACATGGTTTTTTCAGTTTCAAGTAACCTTTAATTTTGAGTCAAAATTTGGATGATTCTTTTCTTCTGGTGAATTCCAGCTGGCTGAAGTCTTAACACGCATCCTTTATAATCAGTTCTCAAGTTGCTTGTTCTCTAGCCTCTGAATCCCTTCCTTCAGGGATCAACAAAGTGCTGAAATATACTTCTGATCATCAAGTCAACAAATTTTGATAAGCAGTTGAATCCATGTGTCTCTATGTTACTTTATAAGCTTACAGATTTTTCTTCCTGCTGACTAATTGATAAGTAATATGAATTCCTAGTGAGGTAGAGTGAAGAGTTTAAAATGTCTATTTTCACAGGTTTTCCTGTCATCATATGGTAAGTTCATGAATTAAGAACCCTCAATGTTCTCACAGAAAAAAGAAAGGTTTGGAATTCTCAATCATCACCACCATTTTAATTCATAGTTCCATTCCTGTACAGATCTGCATCATTAGACTTGATCTAAATTGACTCTTTTTAAATCCCATATTGGTGGGAAGCCTGTCCACTGGCTGTATTTTCTAGTCCTAAAGCTTGCACACTTATTCCTTTGCAGCTTTCAATTTCTGATATTGTTTATTGATCTCTTGTTTTCAGATATATGTTGTTGATTCCTTAGACAGAGAAAGAATTGGGAATGCCAAAGAAGAGTTTCAGGTTTAGAATTAAATGATGTCATTTTAATTTAGCTCTTTTTCTTCTTCTGAAAATTCTTATCAGTAATTTCAATTGTATAATGCTTCTTTCAGGCTATCATCAGGGATCCTTTCATGCTCAACAGTATCATATTGGTATTTGCTAATAAACAGGATTTGGTATGTTAGTAGCC